AGAGGAACTGGACTGACATCCAGAGATGCCTCATTATCCTGGACATCAAATGTAGCCTGATGGTAAGCTACCCACTGCAGAAACTGGCCTCAGGGAAGACACATCCAAAATCCAGCCTGAAACAAGGCTTAATTCTGAGTTTCCCAAAATAGGGAGGCGGAGACTGCTGCTTCCCGTGTCCCCAACTGAAATCTCAAGCATTTAACTGGTCCTGAACTCCAGAACTCCAACTGCAGAGAGTTGAGGGAGAAAATAGAGTTGGGGACCCTGTGTCAAGGGAAGGTGTCAAACAAAAAGCCAGTTACAAAGGTTTCTGATAGTTTTGAAACCCATTGTCTAGTCCCCACTCTGCTAGAAAGAACGCACTGTGGTCTTGGGAAATGCCACGGCATTTTCTAGAGGACACGACTCTGTAAAATTTATGTTTCCTGGAGAGTTCACAGAAGACAACTTCAGAAGATCTATTGTGTTGAAAGCACGAGAAGCTCAAGTTAAATGGTTTGAGGTATAAACTCCTGCAGGGTACTCCTAAGCTTTAAAGCAGATAGATGAGCAGTGCCAAAAAGATTCAAGGATATCTGCACCCACTTACTAGCAGATGCAATTTCTTCTAAAGAAAAGATATTTTAAAAACTCAGACCAAGTGGGCTCCAGTAAAATTCTTACATCTAAATGGAGTGTATTATACAGAGAACAGCCTTAAAATCTCATTTTAAACGTTTATGCCACTGTTTGCCATCTATAAAATTTCTACCCAGAAGAATTAAGAGAAAAAATTGTACACATTCCTTTTTTATTTTTATGTTATGTGAGAGGCAGAGAGAAAGATGGAGACAAACATACAGAGCTCGAATCCACTGACTCACTACCCACAGGCCCACAACAGTCAGGGCTGAGCCAAACCAAAGCCGGGAGGCAGAAACTCAATCCAGGTCTCCCCCATAGGTGGCGGGGACCCAACTATGGCTGCCTCCCGACCTGCTGCCCCCTGGTGTGCATTAGCAGGAAGCTAGCATTGGGAATGGAACTGGGACTTTAATGCAAACACTCTGATGTGGGATATGAGCATCCCAAGCAGTGTCTTAACCACTGTGCCAAATGCCCGTTCCTGTATACATTCCTTAATAACTCCTCTTCTTGAGTATTATGGAAATAGACATGATGTGATTACTAAACTGTAGGATTATTGCCCGGGGTTGATTAATCTCAGGAGAACTCCAGACAAGGTGTTAATGAAGTCATGGCCAGGAGTCAATCGTTAGGAAGGCTACCCAGGGTCACTGTCCTTGATAACTTCCACCTGACCCCTCACCGCAGCAGGACAAGGGAGGCAAAGAAAGAGGGGAGGAGGATAGGGCCCTCCTGACAGCAGAGTGACACTGCCTATCTATATATAGGAAATGCATCATTAGGTCATGGCTGACATTTACTAGGTAATTCACTCAAATGACATACCATTTCATACTCTGTAATTTGAAATGGTTCTCCATTGAATAGCGCTCACAGCAGACATTTGCTTCCATTTGCATTAAAAAATAGTTCTCTTTCTACCCATATGGCTTTTCTGAAGGATAAGGAAGGAGGAGGTGAGTGCATCAGGCAAGCATGCCGACCTCTGGCCTCAGCTGTCTGTCACATCATTACTCTGCCCCCCTCCGCCCTCTTCACCTCCAGGAGCTCCAGTAACCCCACATCCATCCAGGCTTTGCCTGCCTTCCCTTCTGTTTTAGGGCTACTCGCACCTGGACGCTTTCTCCAGGAACCTTCTTTCCCTTTGTGCTGCAGTACAGACTCTGCTTCCCTGCTCCCTGTGATCTCCCAGAGCAAACAAAGGCACTTTGAAGGTGTGGCTGTGTACAAGAAAACAAACATGATTTAACCCAGCAACAAACACAAATCACTTACAACTCCTGAGGTCCCCTAATGATTGTCCTTTGACTGAAACAGAGTTCTTGAGATAGAAAAGACTCCATATAGAGTTCCAGAAACAAAAACACTACCTAAGAGCAGGTTAGGGAATACATGTATCTGCAAAGCCACAGTCAAAAGGAGATGGGAGGGAACCCTTGGTATATTTACATGGAATGATATCACAGATATATTAAATGAAGTGGAGAATAGATACATTGGTGTATAAAAGGGAGAAATATATTTATTTAAATGTATGTCTATAAATGCCTTAGATACTCCAAAAATGCTGTGCTAGAAACAGGCAATGCAGGTTGCCTCCATGGGAGGGATCCTTGGCAAAATGACTTCTTCTTAGAATTCCTTTCATATTAGGGGGCTGGATTATTCTTTCCGGTCGTAGCCACTTCATATGTGAACATACATGAACTCACTACTCATCAGACACAGATGACAGACTTGACAGTAAAGAATCTGGAGAGGTCATCCAGTGCTCTGGCATGAGAAAAGTGACATGAGAGAGGTCACTCCCCAGATGGTCGCAATAACCGGAGCTGTGCCGATCCGAAGCCAGGAGCCAGGAGCTGCTTCTGGGTCATCTGTCTCCTGGCTCAGTCACTCTTCACCCATCATCCATTGAAGAACTGCTGTCGGGCCGGGGCCGCGGCTCACTAGGCTAATCCTCCGCCTTGCGGCGCCGGCACACCGGGTTCTAGTCCCGGTTGGGGCGCCGGATTCTGTCCCGGTTGCCCCTCTTCCAGGCCAGCTCTCTGCTGTGGCCAGGGAGTGCAGTGGAGGATGGCCCAGGTGCTTGGGCCCTGCACCCCATGGAGACCAGGAAAAGCACCTGGCTCCTGGCTCCTGCCATCGGATCAGCGCGGCGCGCCTGCCGCGGCGGCCATTGGAGGGTGAACCAACGGCAAAGGAAGACCTTTCTCTCTGTCTCTCTCTCTCACTGTCCACTCTGCCTGTCACAAAAAAAAAAAAAAAAAAGAAAGAAAAAAAAAAAGAACTGCTGTGAAGCTGAAGTGCATTTTTGAAGCAGAAGAGAAATAAAAGAGACCAAATACTAATTTCCTTCTCTTCCCTTTTCTTTTCCCTAATCCTACCCCTTTGACACAGAGCCTTCCTCTTCTTAAAAATAAAACTTGAGGGCCAGCGTTGTGGTGTAGCAGATAAAGCCACTGCCTCCAAGGCCAGCATCCCAAATGGGTGCCAGTTTGTGGCCCAGCTGCTCCACTTCCAATCCACCTCCCTGCTAATGCTCCTGCGAAAGCAGCAGCAGATGACCTAAGTGTTTGGGCACATGCCACACAGGTAGGAAACCCAGATAAAGCACTAGCTCCTGGTTTCTGCCTAGCCCAGTGCTGGCTGTTGCAGCCTTTTGGGGAGTTTCTCCCTATCTCTCTCTCTAACTCTGACTTTCAAAATGAATAAACAAATCTTAAAAAAAAAGACAATTTTAGGGCTGGCATTGTGGTGTACCAGGTTAAACCACCACCTGTAATGTCACATCCCATATGGGTGCTGGTTCATGTCCCAGCTACTCTACTTATTTTCCAGTTCCCTGCTAATGGTCTGAGAAAAGCAGAAGAAGGTGTCCCAAGTTCTTGGCCCCCCGTACCTGCAGGGGAGACCCAGAGAAAGCTCCTGGCTCCTGGCTTCGGATTGGCACAGCTCTGGCCATTGCAGCCATCTGGGGAGTGAACCAGCAGGTGGAAGACCTCTCTCCATCTCTACCTCTCTGTAACTCTGTCTTTCAAATAAATAAAATAAATCGTTTAAAAAAATAAAGTTAAAAAAACACTTTATTCTTAAAGCTTTAAAAAAAGGAAATAAATAAATCTTTAAGAAAGTTCTTGAGGGATGTTTTATGCCCTGTTAATTGTTAAACTGAGCTTTAAAACATTTTTTTAAAGACATAGTGGAAAGACCTCTGTTCTTATGGCTTATCACCTTTATGTGTTGCAATGCTTTGAATGTTTGTGTCCTCTCCTTCCAAAATTACTGTGTTGAAATCCTGTCCCCTACAGGTGATGGTAGTAGGAGGTGGGGCCTTTGGGAAGTGATTCGCCATGAATGGAGAGCACTTATGAATGGGATTAGTGTCCCCGATAGAGGGGCCTCCGTAGAGCTGCCTTCCCCCAGATGAGGACATAGCAAGAAGATGCCATCCAGGGAATAGAAAGCAGGTCTTCTGCAGACACCAAACCTGCCAGCACCTTGATCTTGGACTTAGCAGCTTCCAGAACTGTAAGAAATAAATTCCTGTTGTTCATCATCCACCCAGTTTATGGTATTTTGCTATAGTCCCAACAGACTAAGACATGTACCATCAACCACTCTTCTCCATCTACTTTCCCTGATGATTAAGTTGAGGGCCTACAAGACCACTTTCAGAGGCAAAGAAGACAGCAGTCCCTACACATCGTGTTCCCCTTCCAGCACATTTGTCAAGAGACAATCTGATTCAAAGGAGAACAAATTACCACAGATAGTTCTCAGTTTGATGCTGCTTCAAAAACACACTTCCTGGATAACCCAAAAGTGATCTGCTATTGTTAATCCAATACAAACTAAAACTCAGGCTGGTCATAGAAAATAGAGCAAATACAATATCTTGCAATTTTGCAAGGTTTGAATTGAGAAAGCACAAGAGACACCCCCCCCCCCAAAAAAAAGGACCGTATTAAAATACTTGTCAAGCGGCAGGCATTTGGCCAAGCAGTGAAGATACCAGGAAGGATGCTCATGTCCCACAGTGGAGTACCTGGGTTCAATTCTTATCCTGGCTCCTGATTCCAGTCTCCTAAAAATGCAGAACCTTGAGAGACGATGGTCATGGATCAAGTAGTTGAGTTCTTGCCATCCACATGGGAGGCCTAGACTGAGTTCTGGCTTCAGCGCCAGCCAGGGGCAATTGCCAGCAATTGGGGAATGAGCCAGTTTTTGGGAATGAGTGCGCTCTGTGTGTGTGTGTGTGTGTGTGTGTATCCTTCCCTCTCTTTCTCTGCCTCTTAAATAATTTTTTAATTTAAATACCGTCAACTGCATGGGAGCTCATATTATCATTACCAACTTTTGCTTTCTAGCCTGCAAGACAATTACACATCCTTGCTGTTTATCATGACTCCTGCAAGCATAGCCCATCTCATGGAGCCCACTTGCCAAGAAATGTCAGCAGAAATGACAGCGCACTCACTTAAATAAGCTCCTGCTTATTTAAGAGCCCTGTTCTTGTTTTTTTTTAATCTCTGCTTCCTGAACAGTATGTCTTAGATGGTATGTTACCTTCAGCCTGGATTCCAACATGAAGACTCATGGAAAAGAGCCACATGGAATGGAGCCCCAGCCACAGGTACAACTGCAGGCCATGGCAGAAGGAGGAGAGCTCCAACTGTCCACTGAGGACACACAATGAGGTAAGTCTTGGCTGTTTTTTGTCCCTGAGATTTAGGGGTTGCTTTTTCTCATAGATTAGATGATCAGCATAACCAATCAGCATGTGCCCATTCCAAGGATGAAGAAACTAAGTCTCTGTGTGCTAGAAGAAAAGAAATTACTATTTACAGAGCATTTGCTCTAAGCCGTCTACCATTCTAGAAGCTGTCATGAAATCACCCTACCCCCAACTTGATGCAGGAAATAACTATTTGCATCTCAAATACAAAATGAGAGAGGATGGCTCTGCGGCCTCCAAGTAATTTTCCAGAGATGGCATTTTATTTTATACGAGTTCTACACCATGACCTTTCACAAAAATCTAGATTAATCCCTATAATTTTTAATAACATGACTGGTGTCCCATAAATTATTAGTGCCATTTTCAGAGAAGATTGTCTTCTAGTTCATTAATGCCTGAAACTTTTCATTTCAGAGAAAAAAGAACCCTTTGTAATTTTCTATTTTTACATACTTGACATTGCCTAGCCATCAAAACATCTTGGAAATTTTCCATTTTTGTTAACAATCTTCAATTAAAATTTGGCTTCCTCCTACATTGTCATGTTTTTGATTAAGATGCCTATAATTGTAATTTATTAACATACCTTTTCTAAAAGTTTATCAGTGATAACAGAGATATTCTCACAGGTTCACAGGATTTCAACTCACTGGAGTCTAATATAATTAAAGATCAATACTGTTGCTACCGATGACACACAGGCATTATTCTGGGAAAGGAAGTGCATGTGGAGTTTGATAAATGGATTTCACATAAAGGAAGAGCAGAAACCAATCTATACAGGGTGAGAGGAAGCTTTTAAAGACAGGCAAAGTTCAGTGTAATATTCTGAAGCAAAATTCTTCTTAGGTCTTGTCTGAGCTGAAGGAAAAACTTCTATAGAAAAATACCAAGTATATCTTCTAATGATATCATTATTTTTCACCATTTTATATGCCATTTTAACTTTATACCTTTTAGACACAACAAGAAATCTATAAGCCTTGGCAATAGTTTTAATTCTAGGTAATAATGGTAAGTTAATGAAGTGGACTGGAATGATACTCATGGCGTTAAGAAAAATACATGACGGGGCTGGAGCTGTGGTGCAGCGGGTTAAAGCCTTGGCCTGAAGCGCCAGCATCCCATATGGGCCCTTGGGCCCCTGCACCCACGTGGGAGACCTGGAAGAAGCTCCTGACTCCTGGCTTTGGATGGGCACAGCTCTGGCAGTTGCAGCCATCTGGGGAGTGAACCAACGGATGGAAAACCTCTCTCTCTCTCTTTCTGTCTCTACCTCTCTCTGTAACTCTCTTTCAAATAAATAAAATAAATCTTCAGAAAAAAAAAGAAAAATACATGGAGGCTACACTTCCTCAAAGTATTTCATGAAAATTAAATGCTATGAACATTTGCTTATCATGGTCAGAGTTATGTCAGTATAAGAAATAAAGGCACAGCCTAAAAAATTGTAAAGATGAAAGGATTTGAAGTGATATTTTGGCATATATATTTTTTAATAGTTATAATATTCTTAAACAATTATAAATAAATGCTGCTTTTAGTGTCAGTTCATATATTAATTTTAATGACCTATTTATAAATGTTAATTTTAATAAATAATAGCAATTCATGTCCTTCTCAGAAGACATACATCAATGCCGGCACTATGGCATAGCAGGTAAAGCCACTGCCTGCAGTTCTGGCATCTCACATGGGCTCTGGTTCAAGTCCTGGCTGCTCCACTTCCAATCCAGTGCTCTACTATAGCCTAGAAAAGCAGTGGAGGATGGCCCAAGTCCTTTGGCCCCTGTACTCATGTGGGAGACCAGGAAGAAGCTCCTGGCTCCTGGCTTTGGATCTGCTCTGGCCGCTGCAACCAAATGGAGAGTGAACCAGTGGATGGAGGACCTCTCTCTCTCGGTTTCTCCTCTCCCTAACTCTGACTTTCAAATAAACAAATAAATATTAAAAAAAAAAAAGAAAAAGGCATACATCCAAGTGAGAAACAAAAGCACCCATAATTCTAGGAAAATTCTCCATTCTTTGAGTCATTTATCTGTGAATATTTGTATGAATGGAGAAGAGAAGTTCCTCTTCCAGCAATGGACGATGCCTGCCATTGGAATAATCTTCCTGTGAGAACAATTAAGGATGTTTTAATATGTATGTTTGAAACATATGCAGGCCCCAAAGAACTAAAAAGGAAGTGAGAAATCGTGGGACCAAGATCTAGGAGAGGGGATACCTGGAGAGGTAATTTCAGAACCTGGGCAATTTTTCCCCTGAAGGTAAATTGCCAGGTTTTTTTTTTATTATTATTTATTTAAGGTATACAAGTTTCATGTATTTCATATATACAGATTTAGTGATACTTTCCACACTACCCTCACTCCTGCCCCTGCTCCAACCCTTCTTCCTCCTCTCCCCTATTCCCACTCTTAATTTTTACAGAGATCTATTTCAGTTTACTTTATACTCAAAAAGTTAACCCTACACTAAGTAAAGAATTCAACAAACAATATGAAGGAAAAAAACATTGTTTCTCAACAGTAGAGACAGGCCTATAAATACAATCAATTCTCAAAATGTCAATTTCACTCCAATATATTACATTTTAGGTATGCTTTAGTTGTCCTAGATCAGGGAAAACATATGATATCTGTCTTTGAGGGACTGGTTTATTTCACTAAGTATAATGGCTTGCAGTTGCATCTATTTTATTGCAAAAGAAAGCATTTCAATTTTTTTTACAGCTGAATAGTACTCCAAGTGTATATATATACCATAATTTATTTATCCAGTCATCAGTTGATGGACATCTGAGTTGATTCCATATCTTAGCTGTAGTACACTGAGCTGCAATAAACCCGGAGGTACAGATCACCCTTCCATATGCTGATTTATTTTCATTTGGGTAAATTCCCAGGGGTGGGATGGCTGGGTCATATGATAAGTCTATATTCAGATTTCTAAGGTATCTCCATACTGTCTTCCACAGTGGCTGTGCCAGTTTACATTCCCAAAAACAATGGGTTAGGGTACCTTTTCCTCTACATCCTCGCCAGCATTTGTTGATTTCTGTATGAAAGCCATTTTTAATTGGATTGAGATAAAACTTCATTATGGTTTTGGTTTGCATTTTCCTTATGGCTAGTGATTCTGAGCATTTTTTCAAATGTCTATTAGCCGTCCGAATTTCCTCTCTGGAAAAATATCTGTTCAAGTCCTTTGCCCATTTCTTAACTGGATTGCTTGGTTTGTTGTTATTGAATTTCTTACACTCTTTATAGATTCTGGGTATTAATCCTTTATCATTAGCATAGTTTGCAAATATTTTCTCTCATTCTGTCAGTTGTTTCTTCGTTGCTGAGTGTTTCCTTTGCAGTGTAGAAGCTTCTCAGCTTGATGTAACTCCATTTGACAATTTTATCATTGATTGCCTGTGCTTCTGGGGTCTTTTCCAAGAAGTCTTTTCCTATGCCAATGTCTTACAGAGTTTCCCCCATGTTCTGTAGTAATTCGATGGTATCGGGTCATAAATGTAGGTCTTTGGTTCATACTGAATGAATTTTTGTGTAAGGTGTAAGGTAGGATTCTTGTTTCACACTTCCTCATGCAGAGATGCAGTTTCTCCAGCACTATTTGTTGAAAACTGTCCTTGCTCCTGGGATTCATTTTAGCTCCTTTGTCAAACATAGGTCAGTTGTATATGCATGGATTGATTTCTGGAGTTTCTGTTCTGTTTCATTGGTCTACCCATTTGTTTTTTTGTTGGTGGTATTTTTTTTTTTTTTTTTTTGCCAGTACCAGGCTGTGTTGATGATAACTGTCCTGTACTATGGCTTGAAATCTGGTATTGCCACCAACTTTGTTTTTGTTGTATAAGATTGCTTTAGCTATTTGGGGGGTCTCATGTTTCCATATGAATTTTAGCATCATTTTTTTTCTAGATCTGAGAAGAATGTCCTTAGTATTTTGACTGGGATAACATTGAATCTGTAAATTGCTTTAGGTAGAATGGACATTTTCTGAAAACAGGACAAACGAGAGGCCAAGAGAGTAAGCACAATTTTCTTCATTCTCACAGGTCTAGGGGAGACATTTGAGTTCAAGTTCTCCCAAAGAGAAGGGCCACAGTGAAACACTGCACAAAAAGAGTGAGGATACACTGGACACAGACCAGCTTTGCAAGCACTGAAGCCCTGATATGAATCCTCTCAACAGATGAAAGGATTAAGCTGACCTTTCCAGAGGAGCTGTCTGCAAAAGCTAAGGAAAATCTTCCCAGGAGAAAAATAACAATGCCCAGAGCCTCAGATTTCCTCTAAAATCCATCATAAGCAATTCCTGGCACAAAAAAAAAAAAAAAAAAACCATAAAGGAGGACAAGATGTATCTGAAAAAAGGAAAAAAATAATGGAAACAAATTCACAAGAGATACAAAAATATTGAAACATCTAAAACATAAAAGAAAACCATTGTTAAGTTCAGTCATGAAAAGGTAGAAGATCTCCGCAGAGAACTGGAATGTAGATAATAAATGAAAAGCCTATAACTGAAAGATAAAACATCATGAACTGAGTGTACAATTGGTAGACTTACCAGGAGGGACACACAACTGAGGGGACAATTAGTGAATCGGAACATCACAAGAAAGTACACAGGCTGAAATGTAGTGAACCAAAATGATTTTTTAAAAATACAGAAAAGCACACCCAAGACACATGGGATATGATGAAATGACACAAGAAGAGCAGGAAATAAAGCAGAAGCAATATTTGAAGAAATTAAAGCAAAAGCTTTCCCAACAATGATAAAAAAATACCAATCAGTGCTACAAGCTCCAAGACAAAAAAAAAAAAAAAAAAGATAACTACACCCAAGCACATCATGGTTAAACTGCTGCAAAACAAAGACAAGGAGAAAAATCTTAAAATTGGCTGAAATTTTAAAAAATATATATCAGATATATCACCTTTAAAAGAACAACAAGACCACAGTCAATTTATCAATAGGAAAAAGGGGGGGGGGGGGGAACCAGGAAGACAACAGAATGCTATCTTCAAAGAGTTGAAAGATAATAATTCCTAATATAGAATTCTACATCCACCAAAAATAGCCTTCAGAATTCAAGGCAAGTTACCCTTTAATACAAACACAGAATTCTGATCAGCACAAATCCATACACCAAATAGAAATATGGGTAACAAAAGGGAATCCCTCAAAGAGAAAGGAAAATCATTCCAGGAAGCATTGAGAGGCAGGCAGAATGCAAAATAATGGAATGGTAAAATATGTCATTTTAACTGAATATTGACTGTGAAATAATAGGAATAATGTCACATGAAGTCTAAAATTTACCATTAATGGAGTGGCTATTTGGTGGAGCTGTTCCAGTGTACTAGGGATGCACTCATCTCATATTAGAATACCTGGGTTCAAATTCCAGCTCTATTCCTGATGGGAGGCAGGAGATGATGGCTCAACCAGAGAGGTTCCTACTACCATGTGACAGATCTGGATTGAGTTTTGGGCTCCTGGACTTGACCTGGTCCAGCCCCTCTGTTGTGGGCATTTGGGAAGTAAATCAGTGGATGGAACATCTTTGTCTATCTGTCTGTCTTTCTCTCTCTCTTTCACATAATAAGTAAAAATTTTACATGAAATAGCCCTTAAAGGGTAGTAAAAGAAGAGGAAAAATGGAATAAATCTCTTTGGTTAAACTCAAGAAGCATGGAAGAGGGACTAGTGTTTGGAATAGTGTCACTTGGGACACCCACATCCCATATTAGAGTGCCTGGGTTTGTGTCTTGGCTCTACCTCTGATTTCAACTTCCTGCTAATGTGCACCCAGGGGGGTAACAGGTGATGGCTCAAGTACTTTGGTCCCTGCCACCCATGTGGAAAACTCACAGTGAGTTCCTGAATCTTTGCATCCACCTGACCCAATCCCAGCTGTTGCAAGTCATTGGAGAATAAATCAGTAGATAGAAGAACTCTCCCCCCACCACCCCCTGCCATGTGTGTGTGTGTGTGTGTGCACTTAAAATTTTTTTTTAAGATAAAGAAGGCATGAAGGGATGCAAGGAGCTGGCATTGTGGCACTGTAGGTTAAGCCTCCACCTGTAGCGGTGCCTGCATCCCATATGGGTACCAGTTTTTGTGCTGGCTGCTCCTCTTCCAATTCAGCTCCCTGCAAAAAGCTCGGAAGGCAGTAGAAGATGGCCCAAGCGCTTGGGCCCCTGCACCCTCCTAGGAGACTGGAAGAAGTTCCTGGCTCAGGATCATTGCAGCTCTAGCAGTTAAGGCTATCTGGGGAGGGAACCAGCAGATGGAAGACATTTCTCTCTGTCTCTCTCTCTCTCACTGTCTGTAACTCTACCTCCTAAATAAATAAAATATTTTTAAAAAGAAGGAAGAAGGAGGAAGGAGGAAGGAGGAAGGAGGAAGGAAGGAGGAGGAAAGGAGGAGGAAAGGAGGAGGAAAGGAGGAGGAAAGGAGGAGGAAAGGAGGAGGAAAGGAGGAGGAAAGGAGGAGGAAGGAAGGGAGGAAGGAAGGGAGGAAGGAAAAGAAAGGAGAGCAAATAAAGAACACAGACCAGGCCGGCGCCGCGGCTCACTAGGCTAATCCTCCACCTGCAGCACCGGCACACCAGGTTCTAGTCCCGGTCGGGGCATCGGATTCTGTCCCAGTTGCCCCTCTTCCAGGCCAGCTCTCTACTGTGTCCCGGGAGTTCAGTGGAGGATGGCCCAAGTCCTTGGGCCCTGTACCCGCATGCATGGGAGACCAGGAGAAGCACCTGCCTCCTGCCTTCGGATCAGCGCGCTGCACCGGCCGCAGCAGCCATTGGAGAGTGAACCAACGGCAAAGGAAGACCTTTCTCTCTGTCTCTCTCTCTCACTGTTCACTCTGCCTGTCAAAAATAAAAAAATTAAAAAATTTTTTTAAAAAAAACACAGACCAGTAGGAAAGTAAAAATTAAGATTATACATATTGGGGCTGGCTCTGTGGTATAGCAGGTGAAGCCACCACCTGCAGTGCCGGCATCCCATATGGGCACAGGTTCGATTTCCAGCTGTTCCACTTCCAATTCAGCTCTCTGCTATGGCCTAGGAAAGCAGTGAAAGATGGCCCAAGTCCTTGAACTCTTGCACCCACAATGGGAGATACTGAAGATGCTCTTGGTTTCTAATTGGCGCAGCTGCAGCCATTGTGGCCAGTTGGGGAGTGAACCAGCTGATGGAAGACCTCTCTCTCTCTCTCTCTCTGCCTCTCCTTCTCTCTCTGTGTAACTCTGACTTACAAATAAATAAATAAATAAACTTTTAAAAAAGTGACATATAACAATATATTAAGTGTGAATGTATCAAATACACAATTAAAAGAAAACATTGTCAGACTGGATTAAAAATAACTGCATAGCAAACACACTATAAATAAAATTAAAAGTAAAGATGGAAAAATTACATGTCCCATGCAGACACCAAAAGAAAGCTGGTGACTCTTTTCTTTTACCAGACAAAGCAAACTTTAAGGTAAGATGTGCTACTAGAAAAATGGGGGTTGGGGGACATTTTATAAAAGAATACACCTAAAGTACAGTAATTCTAAATTTGCATGAGCCTAAGGATGTTACCTCAGAACTAATACATAAAATTACATCATGGCTAGAGATTTTAATATATCTATCTGAATAACTGTTTAAAAAGTACAAATAAAATATCAGTAAGGATGTAGATTTCAACAAGATCAACAAACTATCTAATAGACAGATATAAAACAGTTCATCCAACTAGTATCATATTAGCATTCCTTATAAATACAACAGACTATTTACCAAATTGTCCAATATCTGAAGCAAAATTCAAGTTTTAACAAGTTTCAAAAAATTTAAATAAAATAGATTATGTCTTGATGAACCACGTTGCAATTAAGCTAACAACTGGTTACCAAAGAGAACTAAAAGTTCCTTATGCTTGGAAATTACCCAATACCTTTCTAGACAGCCCATGAATAAAATAATAAAAAGCAAGACAAGTCTGGGGTGACGAGTCAGTTTACTACATATCCATGGTTGCAGATAAAAATCTAATGCAACACATAGAATAACATGATGGCCTTTAAGGTACACAGTAGACAGATAAAGTCTAAAAATCAATTATCTTAACATTCATCTTAAGTGACAAAGAAAACAGGATATCAAATTAAACTTGGAAAAAAATAGAAGAGAGGAAATAACTAAGATAACATCAAAAATTAATCAAACAGAAAACAACCATATGATGTGACCAAAAAAGAAAAAAGTTAATTATTGATAAGGCCTAATAAAATTAACAGACCCCTATCAAGACACAATAATGAAGGCCGGCGCTGCAGCTCACTAGGCTAATCCTCCGCCTTGCGGCGCCGGTACACCGGGTTCTAGTCCCGGTCGGAGCGCCGGATTCTGTCCCAGTTGCCCCTCTTCCAGGACAGCTCTCTGCTGTGGCCAGGGAGTGCAGTGGAGGATGGCCCAAGTCCTTGGGCCCTGCACCCCATGGGAGACCAGGAGAAGCACCTGGCTCCTGCCATCGGATCAGTGCAGTGCGCCAGCCGCAGCACGTAGGCCGCGGCGGCCATTGGAGGGTGAACCAACAGCAAAGGTAGACCTTTCTCTCTGTCTCTCTCTCTCTCTCTCTCTCCCTTACCACTCTGCCTGTCAAAAAAAAAAAAAACAAAAGACTCAATAATGATTTAAGAAAAAAAAAAGGAAAAAAATGGCCATTTCTAGAAACATTCAAATATAATAAAGATATTCACAACTTTATACCAATAATTTGAGATGAGAAAAAAATGAACTAATTCCTAGAAAAACATTCCTTAGCAAAAGCATAAGTCTTGTGTTAGAGAAATCAGATATAGCCTAATTTTTTTCAGAAAACATTACATTATAAACATTTTCTTATGACAGTAAATATACTTCTGTAATGATAGATGACATTTATTACAGTAGCAATATTAGGGTTTAAGTTTTGTTAATTCTTAATTATGTGACCTTTAATAAATGGCATAACTTCTCCATGCCACAATGTTTTTAGCTATTGATCTCATAGGTGGGATATTATATTCTACTTAGTGCTTTGGATCTAGAAAATGTTTGAGAATAACAAATACATGTTAAGTGATGCCTGATAGCCTATGTTCTCCTCTTAGGAGTGCTACAAGAAAATCTTTGTTTATTTATCTTTACAGATAGCCCTAATTTCTTCAGTACAACATACTGTAGATGGAATTGATGAATCACAAAAGATTGATTCACATTGTAGCAGGGCCCACTTGTCTGTTGGAGTAGCCGAGTCCTCTTACACCCCACAGAGGAGAAACATTCATCTTCCCATACCCCTGCCATTTAGCTATTGTCCTTTCTTATTTTTGCCAGCCTGATAGGATAGAGCTGTAGATCAGAACTGTGTTCATGTTGCAGTGTTGGTGTTTATTTAGTGAGTCTGAACATTTGTTACATCTATGGGTGTCTGCTGTTGTCCTTCTATAAGATGTCTTTTCCTACCTCCCTCTAGAGCACCTGAGAGGGAAGAAATCTAGGGCGAATTACACAGGCCTGGTGAGAAAATATTTCTAGAGTTTTAAACCAGTCTTCCCTTTATGGGGACCCAAAAATTGCTTGCACATGGGCATCCATCTCTCTCTTTTTTTTTTTTAAGATTTATTCATCTATTTGAAAGGCAGAGATACAGAGAGAGAAGGAGAGAGTGAAAGATCTTCCATCTGCTGGTTCACTCTCCAAACGTCCACAACAGCTGGGGCTGGGTAAGGCTCAAGCCAGAAGCCCAGAGCTTCTTCGAGGTCTCTCATGTGGGTTCAGGGGCCCAAGCA